CACGCTACCGATTGTTGAGGGCACCGCCAACAAAAAAATTGTTAAAAGTTAGACGATTATTTTTTGAAAATAGCAGGTTTAAAATTGCAGTGTACCCACTGATACTAATCGGACATGAATAGGTTTTATTTATGTGATAAGTATACAGAATATCACACATAATATCCTAGTACACACAGTACACGCAATTACATACTTTGCTCGTGATATATTTCACAACTTGTGTTGGATTCAATTCATCCTTTCGTTCTTGATATAATTTTATAGTGTGTGATATACAAGTTTCATTTCAGAAATTAAAATCCGGTGCAATAAATTGTATTAATCATTTGGTACTACTCAGAAGAACATGTATGTTCTAATATGTGCTGTAGTTATAGTAACGCGTTTTTGAAAATAAGGGTTCTCTAGAAATTCTGTGACAACAATCAAACTACATTAAAAAGCATCAATTCATTATAAACTGTACTGTAACACACAATCAAATTTATGTTAAAATTGCTACTTGGTATCCAGGGTTATTGGAATCAGAAAATGAAATTGGTGAAGTTCACAATTAGACATAGATTATTTATTTGTTTTTAAGGGGAGGAAAGATTGTTTCTTGGTGTTGAGGAAAAAGACATGTGTAGAAGGTTGGGAACTGGGAAGGTGGCCCACAATTTAGAGCGGGTATGTGGCATTGCCCTTCACAGATCGACGAACATTTGATACCAACTTTACGACGGCACTGTCACGCATGCGTTGTGGAATACATAAGAACGACCTGAAGCATGCGCACTGCTAGCACAATATACTAATAACCTTAACGAGGTTATGACGTAAACATATCTCGTGAATATAATTTCAGGATGCAACTATTAAAAAGAAACATTTATTTCAAAACGCCGCAAGCACATATTTTCGGCATTGACCTCTACTTTGTTAAAAGACTGTTTATGCTTTCTATCACACTAAACCTGTCACCACAGCGCCACCAGTGGCTTTGTCGTCAAGAGAGATTTGGGGAATGAGGGCGCTGTGAATGGTTTAGGCAAACACTATTCTGTGTGTGTTGCAACTACACTGTTGTCGTTTGTGGTGACATAATCACATTAACTTCAGTCGAACATGTGTACTATAAAATGTAGAATGTCTTTTTGTTACAATGTGAAATTTATGAGCTAATAAATACATTTGAATATATAATTTTTTATATTATCAGCTTATGTCTGCAATCTTTTTGTCCCATTTTATAAAATACATAAAATCCCCAACAAGTACATCCAAGCAAGCATGGTTTGCAGTTTCAATTCACCCTAAATGTATAAATATTCTCTCACCGCATCCGCCGAGGATAGTAGGATTACGTTAGGGTATTTCCGGAAGTGCGTTAATCCTGGTTGGAAATCGATGATTGTCACGCGAAGGCACCATCATACGCCAGTTAAGAAATATTAAATATGTTCACTGTGATAACAATAACACCGACAATTAATATTGCGACAATTCGCAAGACCACTACTATTTATTTTTTGTGCCACATATTAACCTGGTCGCAGCGCCGCGCATGTGCGACATTTGTGTTGACAAACATTAATTTTCCCACAATCCAATGCGCCCTTTCAATGAAAGTGAGTTTTGACTTGGTGCGAGGTGCACTAATCACCGCCGGTGACTCTTTTGATACCTTCCAATCACCAGAGAAATTACCAAGTTAAAGCTTGGTAACGTCTCGGTTTGTACTCATTGGTCTGCTCAACATTCAAAGTCGCCATCTTTGTTCATCAAAGTCCGCGCATGCGTGGCGTGGCGCGACGACCACCA